GCCATTACTGCAAACTGATGGACTGTATGACTTACCTGATGATACAGTGGACTGGCTATCTCAGTTTAAAGAAGTGAATCATCAACATATATCTGAAGTAAATAATATATTAATAATAGTATTAATAATGTACTGGGAGGAGCTACTTCACTACTGGCCATTATTGATCAAGTACCCTGTACTATAGTACAGGGACTTTGGTCCGATTTTGGAGAAACTTTAAAAATCACAAAAAATCCAGATTTGATCGGAATCAGTTCAAACTTGCTACACAACATAAGAACATGTATATATATCAGGAACTGGAATAAAAATCGAGAATTCTCTCCTTGTCATTTTTGACGAAATTTGGCTAAAATCCCTGTACTATAGTACAGGGATTTTTGTCCAATTTTTGAGCAACTTTTAAGAATCATTAAAAATCCAAACTTGATCGGAATGAGCTCAAACTTGCTACACAACATAAGAACATGTATATGTATCAGGAAATGTAATAAAAATGGAGAATTCTCTCCTTGTCATTTTTGACGAAATTTGGCCAGTACAGGGACTTTGGCCCAATTTTTGATTATAATCAGCTCAAAATTTCTACACAACATAAGTAAAATACACAAATCTAATAAAAGTAATTTTCTTTTTATATTTAGTTAAAATTGTCTCAAGATTACATCTGGAACAATAAGGAGACTGTTAAAGCTGGTGAGAGTCTCATTGACATTATTAAACTGGTATATATTAATAATAATAATAATGAACCACTATCAACCACACCCCCTCCCTCTCTCCTCTCCTCTAATTGTTTATTAGGGTATTGCTAAACCAAAGGTATCCCATAATGTATTCCATACAATATTCAATGAGATATCAGTATTGAACAAGTACCATCAATACATTATGTATCACCTCTCCTATACTGGTACCCTATAGACAGTCAGTATTACTAGCTGTTGATGATATTAATGGATGCTATTGTCCAACCTCTTTTAAACAGGTCTGTATTTAATGATGAGGTATAATTAATATTAATTAACACACACTCTCTCTCCTTCTCTCTTGACAGGTTCAGCCAGAGCATTTGTGTATAGTAAAGACTTTAAGGGAATTCTTACAACCAAATAAAGTAAAAATAAAAATAAAAATAATAATAATAATAACTATCCTACTATTCTGGTTTAACCTGTTTTATTCTCTTTCTCTGTAACCCACCCTACACTGTATTTCAGATATGTTTGAATAATAATAATAATAATAATAATAATAATAATAATAATAATAATATTTTCATGTTTCCCTTTTGTTTTTCTGTTGTCTCCTCTGGGATCTCCCTCTTTCCCCTATTCTTTTCTTCTAGTTATTGTTTTTGTACATGTTCGTTATTTTTATAATAATAATAATAATAATAATAATAATAATAATAATAATAATAATAATAATAATTAGTTCTTGTTTTTGGGTTTATAATAATAATAATAATGATAATAATAATAAATTTTATTATAGTTTAAAGGTGTTGTGGTTGGATCAGTGTCCAGGAGGTTAATGAAGAACATGAGGACTAAAGGTACTAGATATACTGGCATGGTCTTAGGGAGGAAGGTATTGTAAACACAAACAATACTGTAAACAATGGGTGTGGCTTGCTCCACCCACTTTGTGTTTTAGGGTAGATATTTATTGGAGAGTTTTGATCCGGTTAAAGTGATGCCATTTTCTGCTGGTGAATTTAATACTTATATTAATAATCTTAATAAAGAGAAATGGATGGATAAAGGTGAGTTTATTTATTTGTTTATTTATTGTGTGTACATTAAGCCACTTTTATGCTACAAGCCATTTTAACTTAAAGTGGTTCATAAACCATGAGGTGTAGTGGTTCCACCTGTAGCTGTGTTTAAATCAGTTTATAATGATACATTGTATATACACAATACACTTGCTGCTCCTCCTTCAGTACTTAAACCAGTTTGATTATCTACACCACATACTATACTTGAGGCACTTTAAGCCTGGTTTACATTTGCCATAAAACGCAATGTAATTGAATGCAAAATTGAAATTTGACCAATTTTGTGTCAAAAGGTCAAATCGCCCACGCACTTTTGACCGTTTCATCAAATGTAAACCTAGCTTTAGATAAGCCAGTGCTAAACAACATTGATTAATGTCCTCATGTAAACTGGTTTATTTCTAAAGGAGACTGGCACTGGTCATAGAGTAAAGGCCTTTTCACACTGGCACAAGTAATGCACATTGATGCGCATTAATCGTGTTCACACTAGAGTGGTTTTAAATTAATGCGCATCACTCTCACTTCACCTCCAGAGGTGGATTGATGTGAAGTGA